ATATATATATATATATATATATATATTGTAAAACAAATATATGTTAATTAATATTCTAGAATCATTATATGTAAATAGTTTTATAAATTTAAGCCAGAGATGAAAATGATCATGTGAAATTCCACATGATGCACTGGTTTTTAAAGTTCATATAATTTTATAAGTTCTCAAATAATTAGCTCGTAAACATATATATGTGTCTGCATGTACATGTATGTATGTGTGCACACGTGTTTGTGGGGAGAGGGGGATGTTTTGTGTGTGAACTACTAGCACATATTATTAATTCAGTTTTTCCTTAAATAAGTTGTCTACTTTCAAAAATAATGACCATATTCCAGATCTACCCTATATTATTAATAAACTAGTTGTGTACCCGTGCAATGCAGCGGGAGTCATTAATTTTAACGATTTTGAAGTTCCACTGGTTTTATAAGATAAAATTTAACGATTATATATGTTACACTTGGTCTTTACATATTAATACAATTTGAATAAATAAGAGTTATGGTTCTAATTACAGACCATCAATGAAAAAAATTGTATGACTGTTTTAAATTCAATATATTTAAAATTCAACATATTTAAACGACTCCACAAATGTGTTCGATTTACRCCAAGRGCAAAGAACCAAGAAACTTGAGTTTTAAGATAAACACTCCAAACCAATAAAGAAAATTACAAATTTGACAGATCATAAGTCATGAAAAGACCAAAAAAGATGGGGTTTAGAATGAAATTTCAACTGTTTACCCTCTTTCTTGTCCAGAAACTCAGATTAAGGTTAATTCAAAACATATTATACAGTGTAATTTGGACAGCTTAACCCCAAAATATATAGCATATATATAAATAAATAACTATAAAAATATAAATCGTAAATATTAAAAATATTTTTTCACAGTATATATAATATATAATAATATAATTAAGTAAAAAATTATTCAATATTGGACTCATTTCGAAGGTATTAACGAGATGATTATAATGGTGTAACTTGTTAAAATAAAAATGTATTTTTTAAACATGTTTTAATTGATATACGATTATGTATATTAATTTGATAAAGGTTTAAAATGAAACATTTAAAAGTAAATGACGTAAAATAAATTAATTAACTAATTATATGGGTATAAAGTGTAACTTTAAAATTATAATTTTAAAAAAAAAATCGGTTGTGAGAGGGTGAGTGTATGTGAGGAGATGAGGGGGTGAAAAAATGAAAAAATGATATAAAAGGTATCTTGGTCATTTAATATTTTAAGACTTTAAGACTTTTATTAAATTTGTTTTATAAAATAGTATAGATAAAATTTCTCTCAATATTTTAGGATAAAATTGTCATTTTATTAATAAAAAATTATAATAATCAAACATTTTAAAAAACATAAGTTTTTTTTTTAATATAAACATTTATTTTAATACCAAAAGGTCTTTGGCATAGTAGTATGTGAGTATTTGGCTTGCTAGGACGTTATGGAAACAAACTTCACCAAAGGTAAAGATGATGTATAAGTTTATTTGTTTTATTTATCATACATCAGTATTATATACTTAAAAGAATATGTATTTTACTACCAAAGTATAAACTTATTGGTAGAATAAAGAAGTAAATTTAGTTTGGACCCATGGCCATATTCTTTAATTAATTTTCAATTCCATCAAAGAATAATAAAAAATAATAAAAAAAGCAGAAAAAACTTTGGCTAAAAGTTAATAATAAAGCTGATTTAACCATTAGGAATATTTTAATTTAATTTTATTAAAAAAGAAAAAAGGGTTTTATATTTACTATTTGTGAAGGGGCAAAATGGTAATTTCACAACCTCCCAAAAAAATCTAGCGAAGAGAGGGTGAAGGCCCAACTGTTTGAAAGTATTTTGATTCCTATAAAATCATCGTAAACAACTTCCACCATCACCAACAAACCAAACCTACCTTCTCTTCCGCATATTTATATATATTCGATCGGCGGCCGTCCATCGCCGGTTTGGCATGGCACTACCATCACCGCCACCAAAAACAACCGCCACCGCCACCATCAACAGAAGCAGTAGCGACGGCGGCACCGTAATACTCAACAAGTATCAACTCACACGTCTCTTGGGCCGTGGCAGTTTCGCCAAAGTCTACCATGGCCGTTCTCTGATTGACAATTCTTCCGTCGCCGTTAAAGTCATCGAGAAACCCGCCACCGCAGATCCGGCAATGGAGCCAAGGCTGGTCCGTGAAGTCGCCGCCATGCGGCTGTTGAATCACCCCAACATCCTTAAACTCCATGAAGTTTTGGCGACGAAAACGAAGATCTATTTAGTGATGGAACTGGCCGCCGGCGGTGAGCTTTTCACTCAGCTAACCCGCCGTGGACGGATGAAGGAAGCCACCGCCCGTCTTTACTTTCAACAACTCGTCTCCACGCTCCATTTCTGTCATCAGAACGGCGTCGCACATCGTGACCTGAAACCACAAAACCTCTTGCTTGACAGAAAAGGAAACCTAAAAATCTCCGATTTTGGACTCTCGGCGCTGCCGGAATCTCAAAAAGATGGTCTCCTCCACACCGCCTGTGGAACTCCGGCATTCACCGCACCGGAGATCGTACGTGGGAAAGGCTACGACGGCGCAAAGGCGGACGCGTGGTCATGCGGTATCATTCTTTTTAACTTTCTCGCCGGATACCTACCGTTTGACGACAGTAATTTACCGAACATGTACCGGAAAATCCATCAACGTGAAATCGTGTTTCCTGATTGGATTCCGAAGCAACCCCGAATCATAATTCAAAAGCTTCTCGACCCGAAACCCAAGACCCGGATGAGCGTCGAGACTTTAATGGGTCTTTCATGGTTCAGAAAATCATTGAAACCCGATCCAACTTTGGAATTATACGACGAACACGAAACAAACAAAGATGATTCTTTGAATTCGATCAAATCGAAAACGACGATGAATGCGTTTGATATCATCTCGATGTCATCCGGGTTGAATCTCTCTGGTATTTTCGAGGAGAAGATGATGAAGAAAGAGCTGCGGTTTACGTCGACGGCAAAGGCGGAGGAGATCGAGAAGACGGTGGTGGAAGTTGGAGAGAGATTAGGGTATCGATTGAAGAAGAGAAAAGATAAAGAAAACAGTAACAACAAGAGAGGTGTTATTGGGTTGGTGAAAGGAAGGGTGATTATATTGGCAAAGGTGATGGAGGTGGTGCCGGAGTTGTTGCTGGTGGAGATGACGGTGGTTGACGGCGGCGATGGGTTCAGTGAAGTCCAATGGGATGAGTTAAAAGTGGGGTTTCAAGATATCGTGCTTTCGTGGCACAGTGATGTACAGTGAACCACCTTTTTTGTAACGGCAAATCTAAATCTTGAAAGTTATATTCCCTTTCGTTTTATCTTTCAATTTTCGTAAAAACAATAAATAAAATTATATTTGTCCTATCGATGAACGAATCCGTGTGCGACGTTAATTGATATAATGTGCGACGTGGAATTAACGTTGCTTAAAACCAATTGTCGGGTTTCTTAATTACACACCAAACGTTTTTGGTTAATTAGTGAATGGTGTTGTGGCAGTCATATCTGATTTACTGTCGATTTTGGGGGTCTATAACACGTGAGACCAAAGTCTTGGACTGTCTTTTTGTTGTAAATTCGCTTTTTTAATTTCTATTGTATTGCGTTGGCAGCGTGACGTTTTTAACATGACGGTGTAGAAAGGGGTGAAGGGACACCACTTTGTCATTTATGGTAACTGAGAGAGAGTGTGGCCACATGATTTAGTAACATAAGTTGTTGGAAATTGATGATCGATCAACCAATAATTGCGATTTATATTCGTTATAGTTAATCTTGAAGGGGTGTTTAGATGTACGATTTAAAATTATCATCTGATTATTACGGTTACAGTTACAATTAATCGTGAACGACAACTTAATTGGTAAGACAATGGATTTGTCGTCGAGAGGTTACAATTCAAGTCTTCTTAGCATGCACGACAGGAGAATTTGTTAACTCTAGAGTCTTGAAAAGATATTGAGAAAGCAATGTTGCACATATTGAACTACAAGAATCTGTGATCTGATCTGAACAAGTCGAACCTTGCCATTTAGCTTCTAAAGATCGGGTTCTCACTATCGGTCCAAGTGAGAATTCTTATAAGAAAGCCCCTTCTTTTGGTCTCTATCTTGAATTTTTTTTTTATCGTCTTTCCCTTTCATCTTAATCCATGTATGTACGATTGTTTCATCGATTTCTCTTCTTGTGCTTTATATTGATAATCATTTCAAATTTGTTTTTATAATTAATTAACTGTTATGTACAACTGTTTAATGAAAAGGAAAACAATTGTGCCTTTTAAAGAAACCAACTTAGGGGTCGTTTGCTAAATGCTTGCTTGGTAAGTGCTTACCGGATAAATTTTCTCATCGGATGAACATGACAAGGGTCAAGGTAAATTATAGTGTTGACTCCTATAGGTAAGCACTTACCGGATAAGCATTTGGATAAACAACCCTTAATTAGTCGATCATCTTGTAGTCGTTGGATTACATATTAGAACTTTGGATTAAGATTTAACTTCGAGATAAACTTCACAACAACAAAAGTCAATTAATAGGATACCTTTCTGTGTCCTAAATACCTATTCGATAGGACCCTTAAATTTATAGGACCAATAAAGACGATACAATAAGTTGTTAGTACAAAATTAAGTGACTAAACATAGGGTTGCACATGGATTGGATTCGTCAAGTTGAAGGCATTTGAACAACTCAATCCAATGTTTACGGTTTGAAAAATCTTAATGTAACCCAACACAAGCAAAACTACAAAACAATCCAACCCAAACTATATGGCTTGGGTTGGGATGGTTGAATTGGATTGGTCGGGTTAAAAATTATTTTACAACTAGGTAAAGCATTTTAGGGGGCGTTTGGTTCGTCGGAATCTGGTGGAATTGGAATATACAAAAAAAAGTTACACTACAACAAAATCGGGTTTATATGACACTCCAAATTTCTAAGCATCCTAATAGACCTCTTTATAAGACTTAGTTTATGATATCAAAAAAATAAAGTGTCTTATCTAAAGACATTGTAATAAGTTTATATGACGTTTTTTGATGTCGTAATAAGTTTTTTAGGACACATTTTTATAAAATGTCTCATTAGTAATGTTATCGGACGCTATTTGAAAAATTGTCCTATAAAAACAAATGTCCTATAAAAAATTGAGTTTATAGGACACTTTCTCAAAAATGTCATATAAAGTTGCTAATGCAACACTTTGCATTAAAAATGTCCCAAAAAACTTGTTAAGATGTTCAAAAGCATCATATAAACTTATTACAACACCTTTAGATAAAACACTTTATATTTTGGTACTATAAATTAAGTCCTATAAAACGATCTATTGGGACACTTAGAGATTTGGGGTGTTCGGTAAACCCAATTTTGTTGTAGTGAGCTAACAAACTCAAAAAGATTGAAAGTTAATGCAAATAATAAAGTAAAATTAAGGTTGAAATTAATTTTGGATATAGTTAATTACAGATTGGTCTAATGTCTAATGTACATATGTTAATCAATTACCTAACAATCATATTAAATTCATAGTATAGAAAGACATCATGTTCATCAAATTGGGTTGTGTTCAAATTACCTTAACCCAATTCCAACCCAATAAATGTGATTTGGCCTAAGTCCGTATCAACTATATATCACATTACCTCGGCATAAGCTTTTTTGGATTTTTCCAAGTTGAGTTGGTCGGTTTTTTCAGCACCCATACCTAAACAAGTTCTGTAATTGTGAAATAAGTTCAAGCATTTTATAAAATGTTTTACGTGATAATAAATGTGTCTTAATAGAACATACATAAGACATCTTCAACAAATTATTCTAAATAACGAAATTGGAAATTTTGGATATTTTTTACCTGTTTTTGCTCCAACATATTTTATAAAACGAAAAAAAGGAGGAAAGAGAACGATATAGTTAGATTTAAAGCATCTCTCACATGTTTTCTAGAATTTTTTTAAATAGAAAATCAAAAATCAAAATATCCAAAAATAAATTATATTCTACTCCACCAGTTTTTCTTTTTTGGAAATTATAACATTAACATTATTATCAAAATATTTTATAGATTTAATAAAAAAAATTAATTCCAATGTTTTATTGGTGGTAATATAATAAAAAATATTACTTCAGTCTCTTGGTAATATTTTTTAGGGTTCTATAAATTTGGAGAAATTCACTTTCTCTCTCCTACTTTCTCCAATTTAGAGATTCCGTTGGTGCAAAAAATTTGATCAAAATATTCATTTTTTATTTCGAGAATCTGTTGGAGATGTATTAAATATTTTTCCAAATTTATTATGAAAACAAAAATACGTATTTTTTTTTGTTATTTCCACCAAATTTATTTAAAAGTATTTTTAGATACCAAATGTATTGAATATTTTAATAATACAATTAAAATTAAAATCTCTGAAATAAAGATTCTCTTGGAATTAGATGTAATTTTTTTTAAAATTTTAAACGTTGCTGGTCCATTTTGAAGAATTTATAGAGGAGATGCTTGGACCAACTAACAGTTGTGCGAACAATTGTTATCTATTTTTTTAGAATTGTAATAATCACTTTGAAAATATACGTATATAATCCAATGATGACTATCATAATCTTTAATAATTGTTTTTAATTTCTGTAAGCAACAAATGCATCTGATTCTTTTTTTATCACTAAACTTAAATTCAATACGAGAATCAGTAAAAACCTGGTACACAACTGTAAAAATGTCAAAGATCACCCAATCATAAAAATATTAAAGAAAGACCACCCAACTTTAACATTTTAACAGTCTGGTTATTGATAAAACAATAAATCTTCAATCCAAAGTTGTTTAGGTTATTGTTTAGAACTTTTGTACCAAAGTCGAGGATATTTTCGTCATTTTTGATCCTTATGGTATAGTTGATATCTGTAAAAATGCTAGGTGGCCTCTTTGATGTTTTATCGTTGGCCAACTTATTTGAAACATTTTGCAAACTTCAGTGGTCTCACCATATATCAGATAAAAGCAAATCTTTAACGGGTTTGAAGTGTGTTTTCAAAATGATTATCACGACGTTCAACAACCCGAAGCAAAATCCGATAAAAAAAATGTATTTGAAGTTTCTAATTAGATAAGTACAAAATTACCCTATGAAGTGTTCTTTGTTGCAACTACTTGTAACCTTCTCCAAATCTCAAAACTTGTACAAACAAATAAATTTAACAACTAGAATAAGATTTGTCAAACATTACAAAACTTATGATGTTGGTGGTTCCAAAGACACCCACTTTTCTTCGGTCTAAATCCAGACGCTGTCAGAACTTTTGTACCTATTATAACTTTAGATAATTCGTGGTCGCCAGATAAATTAGTCGGTACTAAGGTGCCGTTTACCAAACGCTTACCCGGGTAAGCACTTACTTACCAAGTCACTTTACTTTATCGGATGAATATGGCATGGACTAAGAATCTTACCCAGTAAGAGCAAAGACAAAAATCTCAAGTCTTACCCAGTAAGTGAAGACGATGACTCTTACCATAGTTAGCACTTACCGGGATAAATTGCTGCATACGATGCGTTTTAGTAAATAAAATCTTGCCCAGTAAGTAAATGATATTATTGAATTTTACCGATAAGTGCTTACCGGGTAAGTGTTTATGAAAGATGAGATGGTCTCAAAGCATATCTCAAAACATGGGGACTATCTGATTTGACTTTCTTTTTATATTTGGGCATCCTCTAAAGCAGTTATATTAGAAGAAACCACTCAAACATCCTTTGCCTCCATGGTCAAAGGCACAACTTCAATAGAATAAGAATTTTGCCAGAAAGTCAAACCTTTTTCAGTATAGGTGTTCTATGAGTGCTGGCATGAGATGGAGACAGCTTACTAACTTCCAAAAAGTCAACCTTCTTTCCCAGTTGCAGTTTCTTGAGGATCAACCTGCAAGTTGAAAAAGAATCTTGAATTTTGATATCTAAATGTATTTTAATCGCTTCTGATAGCAGAAAGACAAGTAAATGAAGACTCAAACACCCTTTTCTTGGTTACATCTGATTCTTCATCTGTTCTTGTTAGTTTTAAGTGTAGGTCAAGTTCTGTTGGCAAATACCGATGATGGAAGCTTTTTCCGGTGTCTTATTGATAACTCTGATGGCTCGAATTTGATCTCTAAAGTTGTTTACAGCCCGAATAACTCTTCATACACATCAGTCTTGCAATTCTCTATAAATAACCTCAGATTCACATCACTTTCAACTCCAAAACCACTCTTCGTAGTTACACCAGTTAACGAATCCCAAATCCAAACGGTCGTTTACTGCTCCAAGAAGAATGGATTGGAGATTAGGACTCGTAGCGGAGGCCATGATTTCGAGGGATTGTCATATGTTTCACAAGTACCATTTGTGATTCTTGATCTTATAAATCTAAGATCCATAATGGTCGACACTAAAAGTGCCACAGCATGGGTTCAAGCTGGGGCAACTTTAGGTGAATTCTACTATGCGATTGCACAGAAAAGTAGGAATCTTGGATTTCCGGCAGGTGTTTGGTATGCATTAGGTCTCGGTGGTCACGTAAGTGGTGGAGGGTATGGTGGAATGATGAGAAAATACGGTCTAGCAGCTGATAATGTAATCGATGCTCGATTCATCAATGTTCATGGCAAGATTCTTGACAGAAAATTAATGGGCGAGGATCTTTTCTGGGCTATTAAAGGAGGAGGAGGTTCTAGTTTCGGGATCATTCTTTCATGGAAGATGAAGCTGGTTTCCGTTCCAGAAACAGTGACCGTGTTTTCAATTGATAGAATCTTGGAACAAAATCTAACCAAAATTATCCAAAAGTGGCAATATGTTGCACCAAAGATAGATAAAGATCTCGATATTAGAGTTCTGATGTTCAGTGTGGTCAATCCAGAAACGGGAAATCGAACAATAAGAGCAACTTTTGAAACCCTTTTTATCGGTGGAATCGAAAGATTACTTGTATTGATGCAAGAAAAGTTCCCTGAGTTGGGTTTGGCAAGAGAAGATTGTACGGAAATGAGCTGGATAGAATCTGTGGTATTCGGTTCTAGTTTCAGAAACGGAGAACCTCCAGAAATACTTCTGAACAGAACTGCCATGCCGAAGAATTCTTTCAAAGCGAAATCAGATTTTGCAACACATCCGATTCCTGAAGAGGGGTTTGAAGGGATTTGGGAGTTTTACAATGAGAAAATAGAAGCAGGAATGGCGCTGTTGGTGTTAACCCCATATGGAGGAAAGATGGATGAGATTCCAGAATCGGCTATTCCGTTCCCACATAGACTCGGATCATTATATATGATCGAATATCTGGTTGGGTGGGATGGAGATGAAACATCACCACATATAAGTTGGATTAGAAGCTTGTACAGCTACATGGCTTCTTATGTTTCCAACTATCCTAGAATGGCCTGTTTGAACTATAACGATCTTGATCTGGGAGTAGGCACAAGCTATTCAGAAGCTAGTAGTAGTTGGGGTCCAAAGTACTTCAGAAATAATTTCAACAGGCTGGTAAAGGTGAAGACCATGGTTGATCCTGGTAACTTTTTCAAGCATGAGCAAAGTATTCCTACTAGATTCTAATCCCATGAGTTTCCAATAATGCAATAATAAAAATATAAGTAGACATTACGATTTTTTATGGATCATGTGTTTGTGTGTACCTATCAGCCATTCTACACTTTGAGGGTGCGTTTGGTATGTAGACGGACCGGAGGACACGACTAAACGTGTGAGAGTGAGGTTGGTGGATGAGAATTGAGTAAGGTTTTAGGTAAATAATTATCAATCTTGACACATCTCCCTGATTTTGTTTCACCCACTTTGGTGGGACAAAAAAAGTGCATTTTTGTCCCACCTTGTCAAGTTAGTCTCTGTCTAAATGCCACACCATATGTGGGACAAGTTTTTGTTTTATCATGTGATTCATGTCTGCCTGTCCGGTCATGTCTGGCATACCAAATGCACTCTGAGGTAGAGGTCATGTATGCGTACATCATACCCTCCCCATACCCCACCTCTGGGTGGGATACATTGGGCTTGTTTGGTTTACAAAGCAATTAGAAGTTCCAAGACTCGGTTGGTTTACATAGGAATTGGAACTTCTAGACCCTACTTTCGAGTGAGATATACTGATCTCATTTGGTTACAAAGAGATTGGAACAAACGGTATATTTTATATATATCAGATAGAACATGTCTAGAGTTTTTCCCAAAAAACACAAAACAATGAAACATTATAATCTCAAGAAAAGATCAACAGACTGATGAGAAAGTATCTTGCCTTGTATACGGCCTGGCCTTCAAGCTATAGACGACGGTTACGAAGATTATAATCTCTAGAAACTGAAGTGGTGATTGAAGCCTCTCCAAAGTGTTCTGGGAGCGTATAGTCAAGGTCTTCCAATTCATCTTCAGGTAAATCATCATCAACCCATAAAGACCAGTCCACATCACTATCATCGTCGCATAATAATTGTTTATTTCCTTGCATGCCGTTAACCTTCTCAATTAGCGATCGTAGCATCTGATGGTTCAATGTCTCGTAGTCTCTGCTTGAATTTGTACAAGAAGTGATATATTAGAAAGCAGCTTCTAACCAAATGTCAAACTAATGGGAAACAATCTTTATCTTTACCTGTATGTGTAAATCGCATACAGAAGTTGGAATGATGCAAGAAGCATGAATATTGACCTAATAATGCTGATAATCCATGCTTGTTGTTCAATGTCATTTCCATATCGAAGTACTATAAATTCAATCAAGAACGTCACACATAAGCCTGCACAAAAACAAAAGACATTTGTAAGATAAAGAAGCACAAAAACAAAAGACATTTTCTAGTTCAAGTCTTCTTAGGGCCATTGGGGATTTTCACGACTGTTATCTCAGGGCTCATGGGATTAGGCAAGGTGCGCAAACCAAGCCCGGACACCGACGCTTCCACAATAATGTCCAGAATGAAAACGGAACACAGTTTTAGATATGTGTAATTATTAATGTTTTTAATCAAGTACATGACAAGTTTACCCTTGATAATAGAGAGAGTAAAGAATTGCTTCATCTCATAATTAAAGGTATGATTGGAAAGTAGGCACTTACGTTTGATAGTGTACTCTTACTTTGGGACAAACAAAAATAGAAATATGGATACTTATGTGGGACAAAGGGAGTAGCCAACTTACCCATATATAGCCTGGGTCTCACGTTGTAGGTTTGTTTTGTACTTGTAAACATGTATAGAGTGAAGATTAAGATAGAATATACAAGAAAAGCTTTGATGACTCGTGACTCCAGCAAAATTGCGTTGTGCAGAGTGAAAAGCTTGTCGATTGCAAGAAACATGCTTGCTTGCTTTGACTCGAAAAGTTCCTATCAAACATGAACATCAAAACATAAACGTGTTATTTAAAACGATAATACAAGCAACAAATAGATAAGAATCCAAAGAAAAGCAACTAAATAATGAAGGACCACCTGAGCAGCCAATATAGTTTTTGAATTCTCAACTAGATGATCATGAGCTTGTTTAAGTTGTTCTTGCCTTTGTATGAGTTCCTGTTGTTGATTATGACCAAGCTCAATCAACCGTTGCAGAGTTCCTCTATAATAAAATTTGGAAGACAGTTAGTACCATTTGGAGCATACACTCACCTATGCATATATGTGAATACATACACATACATTCACGAAAAAACAGCCTCTCTACCCCAAGATTTGTGTACTTCCTACACAAAGACCCTACTTCTATGTGGAATTTACCAGGTCCATTTAGTTTTTGGTTTGCTATACATGTGTGTGTGTATATATATATATATATATATAGAGAGAGAGAGAGAGAATTTAAAACAGAAACAGTAACCAAATAAGAGAACACGAGGAAGGCTAAATCACGTGTGATTTACACTAAACTCGTGTGAATTCACATGTGATTATGCGCGACCTTGCTGCAACCTAGGACGCGGGCCAAGTCACCCACACACCCTTGCGTCAACCTTGTTCCGCAATCGCATGTGATTTCAGTGCAAAATCAAATGCGATTTTGCCCTTCTATTCTATTATTTTGACGTTGTTCTTGTTTGATCTCCTCTATATATATATAGGGCAGGTTCAAATGAGAACCATAAATACTTTGAGATCCAACTATACATGCTTTATTCATAACGAATACCATGATTGATATTCAAGATGAAAATCATTCATAATAAGAAATACATGATGAAAATGCATATCTATGATCAATAATATTCAAGGTTATTCACCACGAATAATTCGTAAAATAATTGGTATATGTATATGTAGCCATAGGTTCAATTGAGAAGCAGTAAGTATTTGAGAAGTAGAGAAGTGATCCTAGCCCTTCATCCGGTCAAGATTTGCGGCTTTGATTGTGAAGCACCGGATAATTCCTCGCATGGTATGCAGAAGATTGAGGGGTAGTTCTGTAACTTTTACAAATAGGCAGCAAAACAAGTGCATATGTGAAGCCGTGCGATTCACATATGAACTATATGTTCATATGTGAATCCATGCAATTCACATATGAACTATTTAACTAATTCACATATGAACCTGTGTGATTCACATATAAACTAATTAACTGATTCATATATGAACTAATTAATTGATTCACATATGAACTAATTAACTAATTCACATATGAACATATATGAACTAATTAACTGATTCACATATGAACTACTTTGTCGCCTATTTGTAAAAGTTATGGAACTACCTCTCTATTTTTCGCTTGACCAGTCAGAGCCGCAAATCTTGACCAGTCAGAGCCGCAAATCTTAACCAGTCAAAGCCGCAAACTCTTGACCATATGAAGGGCTAGGATCATTTCTTTATTTCTCAAATACTTGCCACTTCTCAAATGAACCTCTCCCTGTATATGTATATGTATATGTATATGTATATGTATATGTATATGTATATGTATATGTATATGTACATGTACATGTATATGTTGAGTTTGATGAGAACAGGTCTTTTTCTGGTTTACCTGCTCTCTTCTAGTGCCTCAGACTGAAAACTTGTCATGGTGTGGAGAGCCTCAAGGGCAGCAGTCTGGCTGTCAAGAAGTTGCTTTTGCTTGTCTAATGAAGTTTCTGCTATGTTCTCAATATCATCAGCTTTGATTTGTAAAGTATCCATCTTCATAAACATTGCATCTCCGACTTTACCAATCTCTTTTTCTATTTCAACAGCTTCATTCCTTAAATTGTTCATTTCTTCGCCCAGCTTATTCGCAGATTCATTAAGCATTGACATCCCTTCATCCAGCCTTTCATTCATCTTTATTTGTCCATCACGCAGCTCCAATTGAGAATCTGCTATTCTTAAAGATTGTTCATAGACTGTTTGTGAATGCTCTAACACAATACTAACACGTTCTTCAACGTTTTTTGATGTTTGAGCCACTTGTTGAGTTTGAACATCAATAGAAGCCAAAGAGTCGTGAATATGATCTGAACTATGCAACAAACGTTCAGCTTGCTCTTCAATATTCTCTAACTTATCCTCTGCAGATTCAGCAGACCGTTTCAGTTCATTCACCAATCTTTCTGTTTGTCTCTTGAAAGCATCAGTCCTACAACAAGAAAGTTCAATTCTTGTCATCTTTGTAGAGCACCCATAAAATGTTTTTTCGGTTATTGAAGAACACGTGCCATTTTATTCTAAAGCGATTTTATTTATAAACAATAAACCAAACCAAACAAACCCAGTAAATCCCACTTGAAAGTAGGGATTGAAGGTGAGATGTACGCAGACCTGACCTCAACCCCAACAGGATAGAGCGCCTGTTTCAGTGAAGGACCCCACATTGTGCAAGCATGTGAGCAAACAGGTGGAAGGAGTAACAACTAAAATATGGTGGAAGAAGCACGAAAAAGTCAGGAATGAAAACATAATGAGTATGTGCATTAAACATACAAAAAAGTAAAACACGTAACACACATAGAGCAAGTAATGCCAGACAACACATGTCTAGCAGGATACATTAGAGTAAATAAAGTTTTTCAATAATCTAACGACCAAAAAAGACTGTTTAGAGCAGTACTTGTATCTAAATGTGTATATTCATGTGTGAATATGAAAGCAAAAGGGGAAGAAGAAACTCAACTGTAACTGATGACAAATGGAGTTGGTCTCAAGATAGAACTCCAGATAAATCCTATGAGCATCCTGATCTAATCTTGAGAGACAATTTCTCATGGTAGTTTTCACATCACAATACGGAAAAGGAGACCTCCCAGTTTCCTTCTGAAAACAATCACTAAGATGCCAAGCCAGCCTAGACCGCTGATCTTCCTCCGCTAGAATCTCTGAGCATCCTGCAAATAGATTTTGATATGCATTTTGCCAACAAGAATTAGTCAAAGCAGCCTTTCTCCTAGCTTTTTCGACCAATGTCATTCCCTTCTTGCTATTAAAGGATTCCATGGAGAAATCAGCAACGATATCATGAGAAGCATCGGGCAGTTCTGAAGGTTTCTCAATAGAATTAATCTTTCCACTGGAGAAAAACCAACTAAATGACTCGATGTTGTTTGAAAGCAGCACAATAACCCATAGGATACCATAATTATAACGCGTCTGGCAAGCCATCATATCCAACACGCAATTATAACAAGCCTGTATGAAAACTATACAAATTTGATCAGAAATACTAACACTATGAAGGATAACTATTCTTCATCGGTTGGATTAAATCAAGGGTAAACTCTAGAATTACGAATAACTCACAAATATGGAAGTGATAAAGCAGAGAATAGAAAGATGGACAATTTATGTTGCTTTTGCGTGCAGAAAACGGACATAAGATATCCTTTTCACTTGACTTGTGACAATATGAATCAACTGGAGGCCGGCAGACAGTAGTGTGTAACGAATCCAAGAAAGAACATGACTCCTTAGAATAGAATAACATTTAACATTCTTGTAACCACATAGAAGAACAAAATTCAAGCAACATAAAATATAGATGTCTATTCACTTGAAATCAGCAAAAACCCTTTTAAACTTGTGATAGCAAACAACATTCATGGGGCAAATTAATGCAATTCATGACACATACGCACCTTAATTTTAATCATTTTGAGCAACAAATATCACATAATCTTGAATAGATGATGACAATATTTACACTTTCCTTTCTGGTTCTTCTAGATAACATTATAAGCCAAAACACTAAATATGATAAACACACTTGAATACTACCATAAGTTCTATTTAAACGTAATTCCGTAATTTCCATTCCAACAAGAAAGTTTTATGCATAATTAACTAAATATGGATGATTTTAAAACTTAATTACTACATTGAACTCCATATCATCAAGTAGCAATATCGGGATCGTTTTGCATCAGATATTTTACATCAATTTACAGGAGTTGTTTCAATTGCTATTGATAAAGGAAATACCACTTACCGAGTTTTAGGACCTCGAATCCGTTTTCCCTCTTTTTTCCAATTTAGACAACAAAAATCCCCTTCTCCTCGTCAATTGCAAACTTTTCGATTGCAGAAAGCGAACTCCTACTACTAAGAGATCAATAGAGACAGAGAGCGAATGGGAGAGAGGGAGCACGTGACGGTCTCTGGAATCAAAAATCTGAAAATGGAGATGAGAGCAACGGAGCGACGGAGGAGATGACATGTTTTCAAAGGGATGCGACGGTTGGGCTTCCATTTTCCGGCGGTTGCAGTTCAGGGACGGGTTTCCGATTGCGGATAACCTGTGTTTGATGAAAAAGAATATTGAATAAATTACAGATTTGGTCCCCGTGTTTATCATTTCATTAAAAATTAGTCCCTCCCACTAACAAATGGAAGTTAATAAATCAATTTATATTTATGAAATTGATGGGTTTCAATTTCGATTTCTACTTATTTGTATAATAGATTTATGATGTCATAAAGTTGTATTTATTTGAATTCATTAAAAATCAATTATGTGTTGTAATTAGGGTTATAAATGAACCAAACGAACATAAACAGAGACTTGTTTATATCCATTCGTTCAACATAACCGAACAAATACGAATGTCAACGAGTATGATGTATTAAAAGAGACTTCCTAAAAATTAAGTTGATTTACGTCGATTATAATTATTATATAACAAAGAACATTTTAACAGTTTTGTTTTGTCATGTCTGTCTTGGCAGACCAAGACAGACAATTATGACTGTCTTGTTCTACTCCTGTCAATCGCATGACAAGCAATTAATGTAGTCATGTCTAGTCCAGTCTCATCGAGTCTATGCTTCAAGATGCCATTCGAAATTTCGATTGCCTAGGGTGTAAATGATACAAGACAACTTGCGAACTACTCGAGATCGACTCGATCAAAGCTCGGTCAACACTCGACTTGAATAGGCTCGGTTCGAACTCGAACTCGAGCTTGACTCGATATATTAACAAGTCGAGTCAAGCTACCCGTTACTCGACTTCGAAAAGCTCGTGAGATACTCGATTATTTTATATATAATTAGCTTTAAAATATAATCAGTTTTTATGATAAAATTTGTAAAATATAAATAATAAAAATGTCCTATACTTTTAGATATTTAAACAAAATTATGTATTTTTTAATTATAAAACTTAATCAATTACTTTTTATTAAAATCAAAATTAAGATAAGACAAAGAAAAACTATAAAAAGGGTTAGTGAAATTGTCCCACATTGGAAGAAATATGGTAAAGGAAGGGAAAAAATGTTACAAAAAAAGAGGGAGATGAATAGAATTTCTAACATTGTCTTTTTGATGATGAAGTTTGAAATTAATCCTTTAGTTTTGTAAAAAACCTTTTAAGTTTTAAAATTTATAAGAGAAAAACCCTAACTTTTCATAAATTTCATTGAGTGAGCTTTGTTCGAGCCTGATTCGAGTTTAGTACGAGCTTGATTTGAGTTCGAGTTCGAGCTTGAGAAATAGTTATCGAGTTTGATTCGAGCTTTGATATTTACAGCTTGCGAGTTTTTGAGTCGAGTTCGAGCTTGGAAATTGGGTTTCGAGTTCGAGTCGAGTATAGTGATACTCGAGCTCGACTCGCATCATTTACACCACTAGATTGCAAAACTGTTAGTAATATAACTTGACAAAAATATGGGTCTTTAGGTTATGTTGTTGATGCTCTTGGCGTTAAACTTTTGAGAATACGTGATAAAACTTGACTCTGAGCTTGGTTTCAACTCAGCATTTGGAAGTAACCCGTGCTCAGAAAATCACATATTTTTATGATTGTCGATTAAATTAAATTATTATTTACAGTCATTAAACAAGCACCGTAGCCATCGTGACCCATCTCCATATTCACCACAGTCGTAACCCAAATGTAGAGACCACTGTCGACCACCATAACTTTTCTTATTTCCAACAGTATTATGTTATGCTTTGAGGGCACAAATTGCAAGTTTGAGAGTAAGGTGGTAGTAGAATAATAATGGTCGAGTGCATATTCATGTATTTCAGTTAAGCTCAAGGAATAAGCTGCAACTGGGGGTCCACATGGGTTGGATTGGACAGTTTGAACAACCGATCCCAATCATAGATTGGGTTGAGTGGTTTGAAGGCTATATCTAATAAGATGATTATATTACAACGTCAAACCAATAAAAAGCAAATATTAGTAGTTTTTTTTTATTAGCCTAGATATCCAACCCGCTATGCGAGCCGACTAATTTCAGGGTGACCACCTGTTTTGCAGATAGCCTGGAGTCACCGCATTTGAACCTTTATGGCCACAAGAGAATTTTTGTTCCTCCTTGGATTTGAACCTGAAACCTCCAGGTACTTTTGACCTTTGGAGTCAAGGTCAAGCTCAAACCAATCAGACACCACCATTGTGGTTCAAATATTAGTAGTGGTTACTTAATCATTCAAGAATATTACAATTTTAAAGTAGGGACTAGAATATCGAACTGTTAATGGACTATGTAATCCTGTCTGTTACTAGACATTTAATAATTAATAATATGAAATTTTTAATCATTATAATTGTCGGATTTGGTTGGTTGGTTCGATTTGACATGGACCTAACCCATAACTGACCCTACCTTCATCGGTTTGTATATTTTATAAATCAAATTAACCTTAGGATCGGTTGAGTTTAGTGCCTCTATTTTTTTGGTTGGGTTATGTAGGTCGACGGTTTGGTCTATTTTTGTGCACTCCTACCTACAAACCGAATAGCTTGACCATATAAGCGATAAACCTTATATATTCAGTCTTTTCAAACAACCCCTAAATCGACTTATGTATTATATATCCCATTTAAAAGTAGGGCATAAAGTTTCAATTGGACGATATGATTGAAATATACTAACCTTTACATGCATATTTCGTAGCTTTTTTGGGTACTCATGTGGAGTTTTCACGTTTATACGTGTAGTCAAGGCTTATGCAAGAAATTACTTTAAATGACAAATGTGTATTCAGCGGCAATTTCGTACTTTTTAACTTTTTATTCAATACATAGTATTTTACCTTTCAGATTCATCGTGGGTAAGATTACAAAACATCGAAACAAAGCGTTAATTACAAAAATTGGTCTGATAGATTTCGTTTATCAACTGAATTTATTACAAATAACTACACGACATTTGTAATTTGTTTTGGATTTTCTCTCATGAACGACCATATGTTTTTTCTGTTAACTACAATCAAATCAAAGTTAGTTTTGTCATTTTATATTTTTCCAGTATTTTTTGTCAAAGAAACACCTAAAACTAATGGTCCTTTCTCCCTCTCCTCCAGCACCGTGGGGTTGAAGAGGTGAGCGAAGCAGGGAAGTGGGAAGTGTCATCGAAGATGGAAACAAATGATGAAGGAATTAAAAGGAATATGGGGACGAGACTGGTAATAGCCAATAGAAGGTAATTAGAAGCGGACCTACAAAGAGAGGAAGGGTGCATTAGCTCCCACTCCATCGAGCCGATGTAGTGGAAAAAGATTTAGAGGCGTGAAAATTCACTTGCTTTATTTCTTGCGTTTCTTGTATTTTGCAAAACTAAACTAAAGACATAAGTTTACGGTGACAATGTTGGTGTATGTTGTTGTGTTACGGTGGAAAAACGGGGTTCAAACCTTGCATTTGGCAAATTTCTTTATTTTTAAAATTTTAATTTAAAAAAATTGGAAGAAAAGGGTAAAAAAATATTTAATATTTTTGTGAGAAATTTTTATAGATTTATTTTTTATAGTTAAAATGTTTTTACCATTTGAATTTTTTTCTGAATCCGCTTATGAAAATAACTAATGAATGATTAGATTCCAGTGAGAACGAGAGTTAAGATGAGAAACCTAAAAAAGAATCTCCACCCTTGAATGGACATTAAAATGAGATGCATCAAGATGAGATGTATTAAGATGAATATCTGTATCAAATACGATTTATAGATGAGTTTGAGATTAAAGATATAATCAAGTATACAAATCACTTATTACGTTTTTTATCTTAACTTTCATTTTCAATAATGAATTCGTCAATAATGTATATTTTATTTTTAAGAAAATGATAAAAACATACGTGGTACCATCTTACTTGAGGTTGACATAACAAACATTCACCAAGCAGTGACGTGAGCATCATCTTACCGTGAAGAATCCGAAAAACCAAAGGCCACACAATTAGAAGCTAAACAAAAATGGCGGGGGTTTCACCAAAACCACTCTCTGCTTTATCCATTGCATCAAATTCAATCCCCAAAATCGTGGCTAAATCCCAACAATCTGCCGACGGGATTAGGGTTTCAAGCAATGCAATTTGTTATACGTCATTTGGAGTCAGATATAGAAGCTACAACAATGGCAGAAACGGGATAAGGAGATTGAATGCAGCTGGATTGACTGATATCGAACCTGATATCAATGAAGATCCTGTAGATCGGTGGGACAACACTGGCGTTAGTGACGTATGTTTTTTTTTTCTCTCCAATTTATTCCTTAATTTGAAATTTTAGTCGATTTTGAACTTGTAGATTTCGAATCCAACTTAATATGTTTGATTTGTATCTGTGAAGTGCTCTGTCATCGAATCATTGTTTTCTGTGAGGTTTTATGTTTTGATTGGTTGTTGCTGAAACTTTGCACAATTTGTTCTTTCCTTTTCATTGATGCTGCTTGCTCTGTTTTCTTACCATGAGTCATCAGCATAAGGCCCAGGCCTTCCAATAAACGCTGCATTTTCACACGTTTTGTTTCATATGTGAAAGAACACATGAAGATTGGTTTGGATTCATTAGGTTTATAAATGGTTATACTTTCATAGGAAAATTCGTACTTCAGTTTGGCTTTTAATCACTCTCTGTTTAGTTGCTTATGGTGGAACTCAATTTATGAACTGATTCTGGTGTTGGTGCAGGATGATTTCATCTATGGAGTTTATGATGGACACCACACATACAATGAAGGAGATGACAAATGTAAGAATATTATGTTTAAACTAATAACCCTAAAGGAAGTAATTTGAAAATGGTGTAAACCAATTGTTCCATTTTCTTTCATTTAGCATCTTCAATCTGCATGCACCATAAACGGAAGAAAACGGCCAAAAAGTTGTCGAATCTTGTGTTGCGAACAGTGGTTCGATTGGCGATGAAAAACAGGAATTCTTGGTTAAGTTCTCCATCTTAACGACATGGTGGACTCCATGTTCAGAATGGAATTGAATACTTCTGATCATATCATTGTTTGCTGGTCTAATGCTTTAAGTTCACATTTCAGCAACATTTTGGGGATCGATAGCAGAAGATTATGCAGCAATTGATCCTCCCACTGGTTTCCAAGGTACATCTCCCGTTTCTGATAACTTGTTTGCATTTTTGAATCTGGGTGTGGGAAGGATTCCGGATCATGATCTAAAATATTGTTCAAGCTGAACACTTTTGCTGAAGTATATATTTATACACGGCAAAACTCACACATGATCCCTTGCCCGCCTCCAGGGAGGTTGCCAGGTCGGGTTTGGGTTTTACTGGTAACCCATATACCGTGGGGCCAATGACCCTTTGATTCCATTGATGATACTAAACTGACAAGAATCTTCTTTTGCGAGCACCAGGTCTTATCTCGTGGCTATTTCTCCCCTCCGTGGCTCTTGGGATGTACCTCAATGTTCCGGTTAGACTAACTCGAAACTTTTCTTCTTAAGGCGTATCTGAATGCGTTAAAGAATACAATGAAAGCTAGAAAGAAAGTATTTGATATTTATGAACTACTTATTTATGTTAGGATATGTGGAACCTTTCCAATCTCTCTTTAAAAGAGCCCTTAGGGTGCTTTTGGTACCCATCGTGAGTGAGATTGTGGAAGGTTTTTATTTAGGATAGTTTAGTAATTTATCTGTCTTGTCTCATCTTTGTGGTTTTTGTTTAACCTATTTTGGTGGGACAAGAAAACTGCATTTTTGTCCCATTCAGTCATGTCCTGGTCTCATTGTTGCACCACAACAAGTTTTTATTTTATCATGTCCTGTCCTGTCTAGCGTACGAAATATACCCCTATAGAAAGACAGGAGGATCTTACATATATACAGGTTTGATAATCAGTGTATAGCTGATGTGGGACTTCATCTTTTTTGGTGACAACGATATTAATGTTTACATTTGCAGGGTGAGTATTTGTACATTGGGGCCGCCATATTCATCGTAGTATTTTGCATAATCGAGATGGACAAACCGAGTGAGGCGTACAACTTCGAGCCACAAATTTACAACATGGAGAGGGGTGCTCGAGACAAGCTAATATCGGACTACAACACGATGGATATTTGGGACTTCAACGAGAAATATGGGGATCTTTGGGATTTCACCGTGACTGAAGATGATATAATGAAGAGATAGATAATTCTATCGTATTTAACGTCAAAAAAGGAGTTAAATATTACAGAATACTACCTCTTGTATATGTAAAACGCTTTTTGGATTTGAGGTAGCCAAAAGCTCCTTTTTCGTTTTGTATACAATCATTTCAGAAAATATGTGCAACGGATATTTGTGATTTCTTATGACTGTTGTTTGATTGGTCGATTGAGGCAAACACGAAATTGGAGCATTTTGCTTACCCCAATGATTTTGACGTTGGTCATCGTACAACTTTGGAAGACCAGGGCATACAATGTACAAGGTTTTATAGTGTGCACATTCTTAATATATATATATATATATATATATATATATATATATATATATATATAAATTATTAGGTTTCGGAGTGAGTACATCCTCGATATCCTCCAAATTGAGTTGCTATGAAAAGGACCAAGAATCTCAATACTGCAAAATTGAGAGATGATGCATGTGAAATCTCCAATTTGTCCCTAGAACTTCCAATATTAAAATTTAATGCCAAGTGGTTTTGGTCCATATTAAACAAAATCTGGTTATGGTCGTCATGGAGTTTATTGATTTTATCACCTCTCCACATTTATACGTCTTATTCATGTCCCACCAATGAAATTAAGACACATCATATTTTCATTTATTTAATTCATGTTTATATTCTTTCTCTGCTTATGTGTATTCATATGATTGAGGGACATGGAAATTTGGGATATGTGATTTTTATTCGAGATGGGTATGTTAAAAGATATCGCGACCTTTGAAGCACTTCTGATGGAATTTGGTGGCTAATTGTACACGTGTTTAACGCATGTGTGTATCGTATTATATTTAATAAAATAAAACAAGAAACAAGGTCGATCAGATAGATAATTATCAGATCAAACTGTAAAATGTAACGATTACTTTTATAGTTTTTGCGTTTTAAAAACCGGTTCCAAATTTTTGTGTATATCACATAGGCCAAAACTGTAGTTTACTCCCTTTTCTTTTGATGTCATATAAATATCTAATTTTTAATTAAAATTATTATTTGAAAATTTGTCAAATTTATTGTAAATACATTTCAAAGGGTGGAGCATAAAAGTTGTCCAAGTAGAAATAGTGATCATTTTCCATTTGCTTTCTAGATATCCAAGCCAAGACTCAAGAAAGTCATGATATAACCCTTTTTATACTATAAAAAATAAGTTTAAATCAACCATAAAATTTAATAAAAATAATTATTATAAGGAGTTAGATAATGTAAATTAAAGGGTTGTTTGTTTACGTCTTAGTAGTTTCATTAAGAGGCGGTCTCTGAATCGTTAAGAGGTGAATCTTGTTTGACAAAAAAATAAAAATAAAAATAAAAATCAATTCAATACATTTCTTATGTACCGATGGGTGCTATGTTGGATTTGAATCAGATTGCGGGTCAATCTATATTGATTGACTGCCTCCATTATGTTGTTACTAGCAAATACCATTATTTTTGGTTTTGACTCTTCCAAATCATTCTCACAGGAGATCCGGACCCTTTTTTTTCTGATCCTTCGATAAAAAGATTCATTCTCTTCATAAAAAATAGGAAGTAGAACCAATAAAACCAATAAAGATGTCGTTCTTCATTCATACCTGGAGTTGAATACCCCATCCAAGAATTGTTTTGGATCCAGTCCCTATGAATCAATAGAAAAGGCAAATCTCTTATGATACACGAGATTCGGCTCGCCTCTTAATAGTTCTAAAACCATCTGAATGATTTTGTCTTAGGTCCCCCTTAACCATTCAACGCCCCAATTTTATTATGAACAATTACCAAATTGGGTTGGGCCTAGCTCAACCCGTCCAACCCGCCGCTAGTATGTAATTTTTATAAATATATATATATATATATATGTTTATTATGTGTATATATTAATAATATATAAATTTTGTATAACTTTTATTGATATTATGTTTTATTTTATTTTAACTAAACGTATAGATTACCAAAAGAGATTCACGATCAAAAAATGATGACAAATAAACTAATTAATTGGGAAAATTATTGAATTTTTTTTGCACCAACAACAAATTGATACGTTGAAAAATATGAATGATATTGATAGATATTTAGTTAATGAATCCATCAATCTAAGTACCCCCGTCATTTTATGTTGTACTTTAGTGGAAAGAAAATGCTTAGTTATAACATTTCGCTACAATAACATTAGATCTTATAGGAGGCCTAAAATGTATAAGCGTTCTAATATGATACTTTATAGAACGAAACAAGAAAAAATGTCTTATTTACAAAGAGTTACAATATTATTATAGGATGATTTTGTGTGTCTTAACAAATTCTATGACGCTTTTAAAATAAAGTGTTGTATTAGTTATCTTATACGACACGACTTGAAAATGTGTCATATGAACATAAGTGTCCTATAAATAGATGAGTTTATGAAACATTTCTCAAAATGTTTCTATAAAAAAACTAATACGACATTTTACATAAAGATCAATCTAAAACACTTGTTGAAACGTCCAAAAACGTCCTATAAACCTATTGTAATCTTTTTAGATAGAACGTTTTATAGTATGATCTATAAACTTAAGTTTTATTATTTCAGTCGTTAAATTTATGCAACTACTAACCCCCAACCCAACCTAACCCGTCTCAACCCGCAAGATTTGGGTTGGGTTATACTTTTGAATGAGTTGGTTGAGTTGAGATTTTTCCATACCGCCATAATTGGGTTGGATTATAAAAATGTTGTAAACCGTCCAACTCAACCTGCATAAACCCATAGATATGAATTTGAAATGTTCTTGAAGGTTTTATAAAATATTTTACTAAAAACTATTATCACATAATCATGAAAAATAATGCTTTAATGATTGTACCATTTGTATCAATTATTGTATATATTTCCGTTCAAAAAAGTCAAGTATAAGATAGACTTTCTGTTGTTGAATTGATTCACATCTTGAATTATGCTGTTGTGATAACGAAAAGACGTCATTTGTGAAACCGTCGTCTTCTTTCTTATCATTACACCTCATGACAAGTCATGCTTCTGTAATATCTAATAATATAAGGTGTAACCAGTTTCGTAGCTCGAAAATATGAGGCATATAATTTTAGACCAGCATTTTCCAACCCCTTCGTTGGGATGCAACTGTATGACATCTCGATATCAATTTCAACTTGTGGAATTTTGCGGTACGTTTGAAGATAAAGCTACGACCTTGGTGTAATGTTACAGTGGTAATATATCTTAGCACTGCTTTGTTAAATAACTTATTAAAACATGGGTTTTTATACTATTTACATATAGGGTTGGATTTCAGTGAGAAAGGTAAGAAGAAATCATTCTAATTGAAGATCAACACTAATAAGATGTATCAGATCAATTCTCCTCTAAATCGCAATTTTATAGATGAATATGAGATTAAAATGATCAAATATAGAGATCTCTTCTTACGCTTCTCACATTTTTATCGAAACCCAACCCTTTATATATAACTGTAAACATTTTTTTGAAAAATGTAAAAGTGAACATAAAATATAATTTAGTTATAAAAAATATTGAAATTATTAACGTAAAAGTATTTGATACGTTGAGGTGGAAATGTCGCTTTCAATTTTGCTGTAAATTTAAAAGTCAAGATTGAAGACTCCCAAAAAGTTACTCCATTCCCTTCTTGCTTTTTGCAAGAAATTTCTATAATAATTTATTTGTTTATTTATAGTTATTTTTCTAACATTAATCCTAAATTCTATCTGAAACCATGAGTTGGTGTATGATTGGTTTGAATTTAGACTTTAAAGGTAAAAAAAATATTTGAAGTTCTCAGGTTTGAATCTATTGAGAAATAAAAATCCTTTTGTGGTCACGGATAGAGGTGTTCAAAAACCCGACCAACCCAATATGAAATAACCCAACCCGAAGCAACCCGATGTCTAATCGAGTTGTAAAATTGTCAAACCGTTGATATTGAGTTACTATTATTTGAACTCAACCCAACCCGATGAACCCAATATTCTTTTATTTTTTGTATTTAATATGATTGTTGAACTTATATTAATATATACATTAGACAATTACACTTATCATGTATGATTTTCATATACACATATTTTCAATCTATTCACATCTCTATATAACTTATTCATATATATGTTCAGTAACTGTGAACATATGTAAATTGAGAAAATTAACTGAATGTGATATACGTAAAAAATATGGATAAGTTGTATCAAATGATTGACGATGAAAAAGAAATTATAAGTAGAGAAATAACATATTCTAGGTTAGAATAATATTCTAATGTGCCAAAGTATCAACCCGACTAACCCGTACGGGTTGGATATGGTTGGGTTGCACTTTGGTTTGAGTTGGGTTGAGTTAAGATTTTTCAAACCGCAAGATTAGGTTGGATTGTTCAAATGTCTTCAACCTGATCAACCCAACTCATTAGCACCCCTAGTCACGTAGGTTCAAATACAGTGACTCGGGACTATTTGTCAAGCGGGTGGTAGTGCTGAGATTAGTCGGCTCGTATACGGATTGGATATCCAAGTTAATTAAAAAAAACTATTTGAAAATTAATTTTATATTACTTAAAAGTTTTTGAACTTTTTTTTCCTATTCCAAATTTACTTGTTTAGCTATTTTCATTTTGAGAAATATATGTTTTAAAAAACACGTTAAATGATTTTAAAAAATGTTTTAGTTATTAATATATTTTTCTGCCGCTTTTAATAAAAAGATATATAACTTAAAAAATGTTTATTTTTTTGAAATACATTTTCAAAACATGTTAAATCTTATGTATATCATATGTCAATAACAAATATTAAAATAAGTATTTTTATATCACAAAACTTTAAATTTAACTTTAAAAAAATGATTTCTTAAAATAGAATTCGTATAAGAAGAGCATGTTCCGTTTCTTAATTTAATGGCATGCTAATGTTTTGTTGAGAATGAAGATAATTAAACTTGTGATGGTATATTGTGTTTAAGGGCTAAGGGTTGTGAGAGTAGAATAATATAATTTTATAGAAAACATTACACCATTTATATATCATAAAAGTCGCCCCTGAGGTGTCAACTAATTGTATCATAGGTTGTCCTCACTAGAAGACAAAATAAGGGTCAAAATCGTTTTGGGGGGTAATGTGGGGCTTTCTGGGGCAATTTAGTCATGATCAAATATAATATCTAATTTTTGTTCCCCAAATCAAATACATATGGGCCTCTCCGTACATTCTGGTCAAGATCGCCCCCAATAAGTCAAGATCGCCCCCAAGGGCGATTTGAAAGGCTATTTTGTGAAAATACTCTAAAAAAAATGGTTATATTGTTAGCGTACTATAAACTAGTATATTTTGGCCAATTTTCCTATTATATTTGTGTATGTATACATATACACTAAATGTATAAATAATAAAATATTTTAATTAATTTTTTAAAAGAAAAATAGCAAAAACATAAAATGACCATAATACCCCTCATTTAATTGGATTCAACGAAAAAGTTAACGGCCGTTAGAATGAGAGATGAAATTTGTTTGAAAGTGACAAACGTTAAGGACAAAGCTGAGAAAATAAAGTTGAAAAACGAAAACCGTCAAAATTGACAAACATTAGGGACCAAAAATAAACTTCACTCTAATTTTTTGAAAATGAATTTTGCATCAAAATATAGCGAATTTTCTATTCTTTCATGTTCTTTTCTTATTATTTCAAAATTCTTTCATGGGGTTGGGGTTGGGGTTGTCTCCAGAGGGAGAGCACAGATTCATCATGAGAGGGGGCACTGAATCATTGTTCACGGTATATATAATATTAATTTCTTTTATATTTTTAATATTCAATATATAACATTAATTATTTTTAAAAAAAAATTAAGAGAATAAGTTAAAAAGACAAATTTACCCCTAACGTAAAAGGGCGTAAGATGGAGTTAATGGATCTCAAGTTAACCGTGTAAATTCAAGAGACCAATCTTTTATACGACGAATAATCGTATGAGAATGAGAGTTAAGGTGAGAAGCGTAAGAAGAGATCTGAACCTTTGATCATTTTTAATCCCAAACCCACCAATGAATCATACTTGATGCGATGATTGATCCAGTGCATCTCGGTGCATCCCATCCTAACATGTATCAAAAGGTAAAAATTATTTCTTACGTTTCTCATCTTTAACTCCCCCTTCTCACTCACGAGAATCCAATTATATAAGCACAAAACAAAAACCAATAATATACTTGAAATACCTTTTAAGGATGAAACCCAAAATTTAAGCTATAAATTAGGACCAAGAATGTAGTTTGTGGCAGCCATGGATGATGATAAAAGAGTTTTGTGGACTTTAGCCACCATGGTTTGACCAAGAGTGGCCCCAACCACTTTTGAATAGACTCCCAAATGACTTGATTTGATGGTCAAGTTGAAATCACCAAGCTCCCCTTCTTAAAAACCACACCATCACCAAACACCAAAATCCCATTTCCCAAAACACAATGACCCTCACCCTCCTCCCAATTCTCTTCCTTTTCTTCTTCCAACTCTCATCACCCCAATCCCTACCTTCAAACACCACTGGCTATGCCTGCAACTCTAACCAAACCGCACCCTCTTGCCAAACCTATGTCTTCTTTCAAGCCATGGGTCCGAACCAACTCGACCTAGCCTCCATCGGTGACCTCTTCAATGTGAGCCGGCCGACGATTGCCAAACCCAGCAACTTAACCTCCCTAACTTCACCTCTTTCCCCTAACCAACCCCTCTTTATCCCAGTCACTTGTTCATGCAACTCAGTTAACACCACTACGAACCTCTCTTATGCTAAACTCAACTACACCATCCAAGCAGGTGACACCTTTTATATTGTTTCTACTGCCCTCTTTCACAACCTCACAACCTACCAAGCTGTGGAAATTGTCAATCCTACCCTTGTCCCTACGAACCTCACCATAGGTGAAGATGTCATCTTTCCGATCTTTTGCAAGTGCCCAACAGATACCCAACTCCAGAATCAAGTCAGGTATCTGATTTCTTATGTTTTTCAACCATCTGACACCATAGCTGCAATTGCTTCAAGATTTGGGGTGACAGTAAATTCGATAGTTGAAGCAAATGGCGATGGGATTCGGCCTTCCGAGACTGTTTTCGTGCCCGTTTCGCAGCTTCCTGTGCTCACACAGCCGGCTCCGACTGTTAACACTTCGGTTGGCGGAAGGAGTGATCGAAGAAGAGGGGAGGTTATCGGATTGGGAATTGGAGTAGGGATTTGTGGAGTTCTGCTGATCTTGATGGGTGGTTTGTTGGCCTATAGAGAATCTTGGTGGAAGAAGAGGGCAGGGAAAAACAAGTATGCTGATGCAGAAAGCAAGAAGCTTGATAAAGTGGGAGAGTCTCTCATGGCTGATGTTTCAGATTGTTTGGATAAGTATGAAGTGTATAAAATCCAAGATTTGAAGGAAGCAACAGATGGTTTTGATGAAAGAAGGTTGATGGGAGGGTCTGTTTATAAGGGCTGTCTTCATGGGAAGCAGTATGCAATCAAGAAGATGAAATGGAATGCTTGTGAAGAACTCAAGATCTTGCAAAAGGTACATCACTTCATCATACATCTTTCACTCTTCTTTTCGTTAACATGAGCCCTCAAATGCAAACCATCCAATTTGTACAAACCGTGCAAACCAAACTCTTCATCCGTCGATTTCATTGCTTAATCTTATGAAATTTTTTCATGAAATTGTTTCATCTTGTTCTGATAAAGTTGTTTCATATATGATTATGAAATTGTTTCATATAATACTTAATGAAATTTTAATGAAACTGTTTCGTGTATTTCTTTAAAATTAAAATAATAAAGATAATTAAGACCTTCCACAATAAAAATGATTAATCAACCTCTCATAATTACAAAAAAATGAACAAAATGAAAAATTATGATTGGTTGAATGAGGTTTGCACGATTTGTACAAATTAAGTAGTTTGTATTTGATCGTTCATCTCTCTCTATATATATACACATATACAGATTCAAGTGAGATAAAAGACTATTTTCGTGAGATAAGATTTTTATATTTGAAACTTCATAACAAAATGTTGTGAAAGATAAAAAAAATTGAATCTTCACAGGTAATGTAAAGGTTATTTTTACAGTGTTTTGCTGTAAAATTTTAAATATTCATTTTATAACAAGTTTTTTATTAATTAAATTTTGTACATTGTGGACGGAAAATTTTGAAAATAGAAAAACCCAACAAAAACCTTTTTGCAAGGATGACGACTATGATAATAATGAATTAAAGAAGCTTAGGTTAGGTAATATGAATGTCTTATTCACTGATGATTAGTTTTTTTTAATATATATATATATATATATATATATATATATATGTGGATATGTTCAAACGAGAAGCTAAATATTTTACGAGAAGATGAGAAGTTTCAATATCATATAAGATTACACAAATGATAACACAAGCTTAATCGTATGTGATTAAACGCATGTTGTATTGACAACACATAGACGCTTAATTATATATGATTAGACGCATCCAAAAGAGTGTAATCATATATGATATTGAAAATTCTCGTCTTTTCGCAAAATATTTAAATTCCTGCATGATTCTTCCTCTCTCTATATATATGGTTGGGTTCCGTTGAGAAGGAGAGTCAAGTTGAGAAGCGTAAGAAGAGATATTTATCCTTGGATGCACATGAGGATGAAATGCACCGAATCGATCCCTTAATTTATCAATCGCGATTCATGGATGAGTTTGAGATTAAAGGTGATCAAGGATCCAGATTCCTTCTTATACTTCTCACCATAATTCTCCTTCTCGCACAATTCTTCGTGTATATATACTTGTATATCTGAGATCATACTTGGATGAGTTGATCTTGTCAAGGCTTTTACAAGAAAACACTGAAATTCTACAAGAACGACCACCATTCACATGAAAAGGACGTCGAACCTTTATTAAAAAAAATACATGAAACCTCCATATAAAAAAATATGTCTTATAAAAAATGTGGTTTCATCGGTGTCCAACACACACACATATATATATATATATATATATAATCATATATATGGAGAGAGTTTTGTCTTGTATAAAAAGTTTGAATGTAAATTTGTTGTGTTTCGACCCAAGTTTTTACAACTTATAATTGTTGTTGCCTTTTTTAATTAAATATAATATAATAAAACATATTGTATTTCCGGTCTTTTTTTTAAAAAATATTTTAAAAAAAATAAAGATTCTGTTTTGTAAATAAAAAATTAAAATAAGCAAAAGGAGGGAGCGACATATGAATATATAAATAAACAAAAAATAGAGCCTTAAAAAGTTATCTTCAATATTCAATGATAACATTTAGTGTTTTTAAATATACAAAAAGTCATATGGGTCGGCTTCATTCATTGTTTTTTCTTTTATGCGGTGGTGGATGGGTATGACATCAGACACACACATATATATATATATATATATACCGGGATCATATGTAACTAATGTTTTTTTCGTGAGACCGATAAGATCAATTATCAACTATTGGATTAAATCTACAATCCCAATATTCATAATCACAAAATTGTCACGAGACTTTTCAATAATTACAAAATTGCCAACGTGTAATTTAAACCATTAGATCATTAGCTTATAAAGTTGATCAATGAACATAAATTGGTCTAACGGGTCTCACGAAAAACTTTTGGTCTCACGTGAACCCAATCATATATATATATATATATGGGATTATGTGAAATCAAGAATTTTTCGTGAGAGTTGTAAGACCAATTCTCAACTCTTGGATAAGATCTACAATATGAACATTTATAATCACAAAATTGTCACGAGACTTCTCAATAATCACAAAATTGTCACCGTGCAACTTTAGACTATTAAATCATTAGCTTATAAAGTTGATCAATAAACATAAATTAGTCTTACAGGTCTTACAAAAAAATCTTTGGTCTCATGTAAACCCAACCATATATATATATATATATATATATATATATATATTATGAGGAATATTATATAAAAAGATAATTAATTTACGAGAATATCAGAAGAAATATAGATTATATAATATATTAATAAACAATAATATAAAAAGAATTAAAAATTAAGATAATTATCATTTTAAATTTAATAAAACATTAAAAATTTCATCATATTTTTTAGATTTTTTTAATTTTAATTAATTAATACTTTTTTATCTAAGTTTTATGTAAAAAAAAAAACTAGATATACTATTGATAAAATAATTTCATAATTTTCATCAAGTATCTGTATCATATATGATATCTATGATCAATTCATATGTGATAATTGTAGATGTTTTTGTTAATAATATGTGATTATATATTTTTACGTTTATAGATCTTTTTGTGATGTAAATATTATCACATGTGATAATACGTCATTTATATTCATATTTATATTATCATATGTTAAACGAAGTTTATCACATGTGATTTAAAACGTGGATACACAAATTAGAGAAAAAAATGGTGAAAAAGATTATGTATGTGTGTGTGTGTATATATATATATATATATATATAATTGAATAAATTGTATCAGAATGAAACTAATTTTACTTTCATTTTCAATTTGAAGATAAACCATGGCAATTTGGTGATGTTGGAGGGATTTTGTATAGACCCTGAAGATGCAAATTGTTATCTGGTTTACGAGTATCTCGAAAATGGATCTCTTTATACACAACTGCATCAAAGTAAGAAGGAGAAGCTGAGTTGGAAAACGAGACTACGAATCGCCGTTGATGTAGCTAACGGTCTTCAGTACATCCATGAACACACTAGGCCCCGAGTTGTGCACAAGGATGTCAAGAGTGGCAATATTCTCTTGGACGCAAACATGCGAGCCAAGATTGCCAATTTTGGGCTAGCTAAATCAGGATGCAATGCGATAACAATGCATATTGTTGGAACTCAAGGATATATCGCCCCTGAGTACCTATCGGATGGTGTGGTCTCTACGAAAATGGATGTTTTCTCTTTCGGGGTTGTTTTGCTTGAGCTCATTTCCGGGAGGGAGGCAGTTGATGACAATGGAAAGGCTTTGTGGGTAGAAGCGTATGAAATTTTCAACGGAATAGAGGACAAATATAAATATAAGCTGGGAGATTTTATGGATGACGTTCTTTTGAAAGAATCATGCTCAATTGACAGTGTCATGAATGTAATGTCAATCGCCATCGCTTGCTTACATAAGGATCCTTCAAGAAGACCAAGTACAGTGGACATTGTCTATGCGTTGTGTAAGAGTGATGATTTGTTCTACGATCTCTCTGAGGATGGCCTATCGCCACGTCAAGTTCTTGCAAGATAGGTTTAGTTCGATAATTTTGAGTACTGGAAGCTTGAGAAACAGAATCCACTGCTACGCCTTGCGTAAGAAGGATTATGTATTCTCCGATCTCTCTAAGGATGACTTATCAACATATATGCCAATTTTCTGCAAGATAGGTTTATATATGTAAAATAAAACCGGTAATCGTGGGTGTCTGAGCTAGCTTATGCATACTCGACCTGATCCATGGGTACCTAAAGATCAAAGATAGGAATATCTCAAGTGGCTCTGAAACCTACGAGAAAGAGTCACAATACCTAGCCTTTATATCGGTAAATTTAAGTAATAAAAGCGTGGTAAACATAATGTCGAATGCTATATCGTCATACTTTTTCTATTCGTTATTATTAAATGGTATATAGTTTTCAAAATTTAAGATGAACCATGTATCATCTTGTTATGTTTTGTTGAGAAGTAAATTATCATTAAGGGTCCGTTTACCAAACGCTTACCCAGGTAAGCGCCTACCAAGTCATATTACCTTATCGGATGAATATGACAAAAACCAAAAATCTTACCCGGTAAGAGCAAGACAAGGAACAAGAGTCTTACCCGGTAAGTGAAGGCGACGACTCTTACCACGGTAAGAGCTTATAATGTAAATTCTTGCATACAGTGCCGTTTTGATTGACGAAAATCTTACCCAATAAGTAACTAATAGTGTTGAATTTTACCGATAAATACTTATCGGATAAGTTTTTAGTAAACGGCCTTTAAAATATGTATTCTATGAGATTGCAAAGTCACGATGATCATAAATTATTGAGTGAGAATGATAATACCATAAAAGGATTTAAAAAAAATACAAAAACTTTAATAAAATAATTTACTAAAGAAATTAAATTTTAGATGTGTTGTTGTCAAAGCATAAAAAGTTGATAATCTATTCGAGTATTAAAACAAATTTTGTCTTTAAAGATGGGGTGGTTGTGATCACATCTACCCAAAAAGTTTATATGTTATGGGTGTGCGAGTTTATCTCAATTTTAATGTTTCATTTTCTTTGTTCTAGTCGATATTATAATACGATTTTATGTGATTTTTTGAAAGCGATACTGTTTTTATTTTTGAATAAAATATAAATATGAAAATATTATAAAAAATAAAAAAATATTGATATTAATATCAAATTAACTATTTAAAATTTCTCCTTTTTTGTGTTTTTGTGTAATTCATTTTTTATTTTTGGTTTAATAATACAATTTTTTTAAAAAATAATAATTAAGTATTTTGTTAGAACTTAATGATTATCATAATTATATTTTAGTTTTTTTATATTTAAAATAAAATGTTTATCCTCTATTTGATTATGTTTATCTAAAGTTAGTTACACGAATTGAAACATGAAATGTGTGTGTGTGGAGGTTCAAACGAGAATACCCCCATTTTACAAGAACGCAAGAACACCCTAATCACATGTGATAATACATGTGAGGAGACCCTCTGATGTGCGGACGACGTGTTCTACGACTTAGGCCGCGCCAAGGTTACATGCGTCTATGATTTAGCATCACATGTGATGGTCTTGATAGATTATAATATCATATCAACAACACCTTTATCAAATGTGATAATACTTGTGAGGGGACTTAGTGGTGTAAGGGCGACTTGGCCCGCAACCAAGATCACATCGAAAATCGTCCGCGTCTCTAATTTAGCATCACTTGTGTATCGTATGTGATGAAATAATAGTATCACACGTGATTATCTATTGTAAAAGAGCGTTTTTGCGTTCTCGTTTGAACCTTTTACATATATATATATATATATATATATATATATATATATAAGGTTAGATTTTGGTGAGAAATATAAGAGAAGATCTTAATCCTTGGATCAATTTTAACTGGTAACAAATAATTTTTTTTATATAATTAAATAGTTTTTTTTTTCATGCACACAATCTTTTTATTTCAAGATTTTAAGACTCAGATTATTGGAATTCAATATTTATTCGATGGAAAGAGAGATTTATCAAACGAAACACATACTCACCAATTGAATATTTTTATTTTTAATTACATTTAACAAATATAATATTTTTTTTTTAAATTTTTTTATAATTAATCGTTGTTGTTTGCTTTTTAAGTCACTAATGGATTTTTTGATTCACGTTAGTCTTCTTGTTGTAGTTTTTATTATGCTCATGGGTTTTTATTCACATTGAATTAATTAATTTATTAATATGTGAGATTTTGGTTAAATAGTTAAAAAGAATGCATTTTTTAATTATTTATTATTCAACATATGATGTGAAATTTTAATTACCGTCTCATTTCAGTATTTTAGATTTATATTTATTATCATGATAATAACGTGAAATCTTGACAAAACATTTGGGCCATGTCATCATTAGTAAGTCTATTGATTAATCAAACCCTTAAATAAACAAAAAGTTTGATCCAAACCCTTAAATGACGATTTTAAAAATTAGCCCCTCAAAATAAGAACTAAATGAAAGTTGATTTCATTTTTATGCAATTTTTCTTTTTGAATTCAACAAGTTTCGGAAATTTAACAAGGCTGATCTTTGAAATTATTGATTTCACATTTAACCCCTTCTCTTTGACATTTTTTTACACCTCGATCCTACTTAACATTTCCAGTTCAAATTCTTTCCCGATAACCTAACTTGAGATTTTTCAATCAACGTGAATATAAATAATTACTTGTAATATTTATTTACTGTTACGTTACAAATTAGTTGGGTCCTTTGTACCGAATATAATGATTACGTGTTTATTTGAGTTTGGCTTTCGTCATCGTATAGTGAGTTTTAATGCATTGTCGGTTTCATCGTTACAAAAAATGTTTTTGTCGTTTAATGGCAACCGTTAGGACGTCGTTGCAACTCTCAAACCCTAACCAATCGACTCCTTTTACGTCTAAAGATCGTCACTTGAATATCCAAGAACTCAGACAAAAATTCTTGATCTTCGGTAGCAACTTAATTAATAACTTCAGAGGTCGTTTATCATCTCGATTTTGTGTAGGTTTTTTTATTTATGTTCTCAATGAGCTACTGTTCCGTTACAATAACCATCGTTGATTAGTACCAATATATGCCGTTCGAAAAATATACAAAAAATTGAGATGGTAAATGACGATTAATTCTAATAGGGTTTCTAATAAAACCTAATTAATTCTATTACTTGATTTTGGATAATTTACACAATTAACCCCAAGGGTTTATGTTTCAAAAATTTCTACCCCTAATTAATTGTTTCTTTTCATTTTCATCCTATTTTTGGGTTATAAAGGCCAAGATTACCAACTTTGACGTAGCCAATTCAAGATGTGCTGCTATAACGATGTATAATGTGCGAACTCAAGGATTTTTCGCTACTAACATTTGTTTGATAATGTCGTTGTTTTTACAAAATATTATCGTTATATGGTGAATGACTAACGGTTTCTTTTTTCAACGTCTCGAAGGGTTTCCTATCACCACATCAAATTCTCGAAAGGTTGGTAAGTACTTAATACAACTATTATATCGAGCATCGTATGCTATTATTGTCCTTATGCCATTTTTTACATAAAAAACGGTGGAATTTCAATTAAAGTAATTTCCAACGCTGTCAAATCAAGTCTCTATCTTTTGCACAGCTCGTGACGTGATCTATATCAGCAGATGCTTTCATAATATTTATCGTCAAAAAAAATGTAAAAAAAAGAAAGAAATCTATATTGTGTGATAAATGTTTTGGTCGATCTCTAAATTGTTTTGCCATTAATGCCTTACGCCCTTATTTCCTCTGATATCTGCGACTTTATTGTTAGAACGATCATACTTTTTTCCCTCTTAGAACTACTTATTGAGTGTAGACACTTCTATTTTCGGCATTTTGTGTTATATTTTATGTATTTGTAGTTTTCGTACTTAATTTTTTACAAACATCAATGTAATATATCTAACGGTATGAAAAGTGAATTTTAATATTCAATTAACGATATAGTTTTACGATGAGAAATTCAAACAATGACCGATTAACGACCAACTTTTGAAAACACGTTAAAAAAATTATGACTATATATTCATTCGGCTTGTGACTATTTCTTCGTAACGATTGATCGTGATGAATTTTATAACGTGATTTTTGAAACTAGTCCATATTTTAAGAAGTTATAAAAATAAGTTACGTTTTTAAGAATCATGGTCACGAAAATTTTATAACATGTTATTAAATTTGTCATTCTAAAATACTGATCTTGTTGTAGATACATAAATTTTGAATATTTTTTTGAAGCGCGGTGAAGAAAATGTGACACAGATTGCAACAAACTTTCGTCCCGTTATCATTTAGCATATGACACATAGATCAAGCGTACATAAAATCATTCAAAAGCCTTGCATTTTATTAACGTCGAACTTCTAAAGATAAGTACTTGTCAATCCACCGACTTGTTCACATACATTATGGATGCTTTGGAGGAAACGCTATCCTCTTTGAAACCGCTTTTGATGGCTGGCTCTGTTTAGGTTTTGGTGGTTTGCTTCGAGACGAACTCACCTTCGATGAAGAAGCTGGTTGAGTTTGTAATCTTCGAGGTGACGTGACTATGATCGAACTATCCTCCAAGAAAATGGACGACTTCTCCGACACAATCGCCTGGATTTGATCAAATTCAGATGGAAAGTCTTCATCCTTGATGTATATGAAATTTTTAGCCATTTGTACCAGTATTGAAAAGGACTTGAAAAGGTATGAGTATCTCTAACCTGTGTGCAATTTATACGAAAAAGGTGTGAATAATTTATTTCAGATGTGGAATACCGGGAGTTACAAATACTTGCGGTGGGCCCCACTATTTCTTTTTCTAAAAATAAGATGTTACGATGAAATTGAATAACTTAAGCAAAAAGATCTGTTAATATTTTTATAAGACAGTTTTTGAAAAATGCTAATAAAAACGTTCTTAAAACCTTGACCAAAAGTGTTCAATAAAAAAATTAATATGACATTTTACTTTGTTTATCTAAGAGTATCTTCAATAGATTTTCTAAAATAAAAAAAAATTAAGATAATGTTTTCTATTTTGCTCCAACAAATTTTCTCTGTATTCTTCTTTTAAAGATAAAAAAAGAAACAAGTCAAAACTCTAGATTTGGATAATTTTATAAAACTTGATATGAGGATAGAGAAATGATTTATTTATATTATTATTTTATATAAAATTTAAAAAAACTATATTAGAATAATAAAATTATAAAATATTATAATAATATAATTAATGTTAAAATCCTTAAAATAGACCGTCTGTTGGAGTTGAATATAATATTTTTTAGACATTTGAATTTTTGATTCTTTATTTTAT